GAAGTTGCTAATGTTGTCGGTTGTGCTGGAAGCAAACGAAAGGTCACTTTCCCCATAGTCCTACATTACAAGTTTCCCCAATGTTTCCGTCACCGAAAGATCATGAATCATGAACCTGTTTTGTTGTTACAGGTACAACTGCTCAAGGATAAACTAGGTTTTGATGAGGCCTTCAACTACAGGGAGGAAACTGGCTTGAACTCAACTCTCAAAAGGTCAGATTCTTGATTCTTCAGAGTGTATCAAGAATCTAGATTGTATATTCCCTTCTCAAAAGAAAAATCTAGTCATTTTTCTTGTGTTTGTTTCAGTCAATTGACAGGTATTTTCCTGACGGGATCGATATATACTTTGACAACATGGGTGCCGAGATGCAAGAAGCGGTGGTTGCTAACATGAATGCCTTTGGCAGAGTTGCCGTGTGTGGAGCAATATCCGAGTATACAGAGTCGGGGAAAAGAGCCCCGCCCGACATGTTAGATGCCATTTACAAGAGAATAAAGATTCAGGGCTGTTTAGCCGGCAATCACATTAGTCTTTTCGAGGAATTCATCTCAACCACCAGCGACCATCTCCGCAGCGGCGAGTTATGCCCGCTCGAGGACATCTCGGATGGCCTGGACAGCATTCCCTTTGCTTTCACAGGGCTGTTTCACGGCGACAACATTGGGAAGAAAATTGTTAAGATTGCACAAGAATGAGAATTTCCTAATTGGGTTATAACTTAGCCAGATCAATGCCTCAATATCGGATTCCTTCGAGTTTACTACATGAACCTACACGACTATTGTCATCTCTGTTAGTACTATTTTACTCACATTACTACATATTATCAATAAATATACGCATTGCATTGGATAATTTATTATCATATTTTACCAAAGGAAAAATTTTACATGAGGTTGCACCGGCATCACCAGATGATATATAGCAAATCAATCGAGATTCTCATTGCTACCCCCGCCAGATGACTTCCAATCTGAATGTTGGGGTGAATTTTGTGATTGAAGTGTTAAAGTATTAATAAAATTGATTGTTGTGTCGACAATTCCTCCGTGAAAACAGAAAGAAGTCAACAAGAGTGAACAAGAAAGCAGATCTCTCTATGAAGATCTGATTAAATGCTTGCAGGGGAAAAAAGAAGACAAATGCTCCATGCATTTAACGAAGACAGAAATCATTGAAGAGTTCTCCACATATTTCTACGCTTGTTTTCTAACGCATTTATTATTTGTGGACTTTTTCTCTCTTAGCTTTGTGGGCTTTTGTTGCTTCATTTAATGTTGTCAAAAAGAGTGCTCCAGACTCCATGGCTCATTTAATGTATGTTGATATTTTGTCGCTAGGTAATTAGTGTATGAGATGTTAGTCTTTAGCATTAAATGTATCGTAGGTGTTCTACTATTATATAAGGACTAGAGGGTGAGTGTTATATGATAAGCCGTCAGAAAGTATTTTAAGAACAATTTCTTTCTCCAACTTGTGCACTCGTTTTAAATTTCCAAAGTCGTCATTATCCCTTTTGGTTCCAACATAAAGGTGATCATAGGGCAGGCTCGTGCTTGATAGGCGTCCAGTTGAGGCCTGATTAGGTGCTTGATTATGATTGATTTCTTAACCAGATCAGTTTTAGCTTCTTCAAGTCTCTGCATTTGGTTTAGTCTATAGTATTACCGCTTGATTATGATTGATTCATACTGTGCTAGAGTTGTAATCAAGTTGAGTCGAGTTGTCATTCATATTAGTGTTATAACCGAGCCGAGCCGAATCGATGCAATTCAATGATCAAACTCGACTTGACTCAAACATGTAAGGCTTGGTACCCGATTCGAGCTTAATCAAGCTCGACTTCTCAAACTCAAGCGTGACTTAATTTAATATTTAATAGGCTTAGAATTCAGCTCAACTTGATTCAATTAGCTGATTCCTTTTTGTGTAAGCTCAAATTCAACTTGGACTTGAGCTCGAGCTTGAGTTGGGGTCTGAAAGTTCAATGAAATTGATAAATAATACGATTGTTTTTTGTGTGTATAAAATGTAAAATTGCAGGCATCGGTTGAGCTTGGGAATTACTACAGTCTAAGAAGGGATTCCTTGAAAATAGTGCTATTTATCACATGACAGCTAGACTAATGTTGGATTTCAACCGGCTCCTATAATTCGTTTGATGCTCGTTTATTTTGTTCTCAAGTATTCTTCTAATTTATCTTTTTTCGGTCTTGCAAATTCAATAAACGTGTATAGTGAGAAAAAAATTATTTAACAAAATAAAACAAATCGGAGAAACATATATGATACACTTTGAGTATCATGCCATCTACTATGGAAAGATCACCAAAAAAATCATAAATCTATCGCAATTGTGCTAATTTAGTCGAAAACCTTTTTTTTGCCGATCGAGTCCTAGTATTATTAAAAATTATCCACATCAGCGCCGTTATGCCACGTAAGACGGTCGCAGAAAACTGATCCCGGTTACAAAGGAATTACTCTTGGTGAGGTGAGTGTGACTTGTTCATAGCAGCTAAATATATGTTCACAAGAAGATCATGTAAATGTGATGGGAATTGAAAATAGGAATTGGGTTTTCTTTGATTTTTGTCTTAAAATCTGTGTGCAGGAAATTGAAGCATATGGTGTGGCTTCAGACAATGTTGAATTTGAGAAGGGTGATTTGGTTGTGGGAGTTGTAACTTGGGCAGAGTACAGTAAGATAAGAAGAAATGGGATGATCAGGAGGCTGGATCCATTGGGGTTTCCTTTGTCATACCATGTTGGACTATCGGGAAAGTTCACCGACAATTTCCTATTATCATAATATTTTCAAAGACACGAATTTCTTCTTAATCAAAATAACTTTATAAGATTGCTGCACATTTGCGAAGGGATAGCAATAGCTCTAATATCATGTTAGAAAGATCAACCAAACTTGAGCTAATCGGTGAAAGGAGACCACTTGAATATAAAAGCATTTAGGACCTGTTGTCAAGTGATGTGGGATAATATTTCAATAGTTATTATGGTAGAAAAATGTTGTAATTAACTGATAATAACAGAGCGACCAAAAAAAAAAAAAACTGATACTAACAGAAGAAACATAAGAACCCCAAATGGTGTTGAAATCATCTGATGCATTGCAGCAATATATCACAGAAAGTACCCATTTGACTTATATAGTGTAGCACATTTGAACAAGGACATGTCTTAACGGGGCCAAGAAATGATGCAGTGCTTGTTTGACCTTGGATCAGTATCTCGCAGAATGCGCTTAGTTGTGTGATGCAAATGATGTCTCAAGCCATGTCAAGTTCTTGATCTCAGTCGCTCAAGATACATCAAACAAAAAAAAAGTTTCCACTGATGCTTCAGGCTACCAAACGTTTTTTTCCCCTTCTGTTTGTGTTTCTTTATCAAATTTCTGCTTGCTCTTTCAGGATACAGTGGACTTATAGCCTATGCTGGATTCTTCGAAATATGCAAGCCCAAGCAAGGAGAGAAGGTATTTGTGTCTGCAGCTTGGGGATCGGTCGGTAACTTGGTCGGACAGTATGCGAAGTTGCTCAGCTGTTATGTGGTTGGTTGCGCCGGAAGCAAGCAAAAGGTCACTTTCACGATTTTCTATGTGACTAGTACTTGACGTGAGCCCACTTATGAATCTCCCAAGTTTTAAACTTGTGTCACAAGTAGAACTGCTCAAGGAAAAACTTGGCTTTGATGATGCTTTCAATTATAAAGAGGAACTGATTTGAATTCAACTCTCAAAAGGTCAGGGTCCTCAATTTTAATATGCACGGATGCATTGACCACCTTCTTCTCCAGAGTTCTGGGATAAATCTAAGTTCTAAAAGATATTCCTATATCATTTTGCTTCCTGCGTTGCCAATAACAGGTACTTCCTCGACAGAAACGACAAATACTTCGACAATGTGGGTGCTGAGATGCTAGAAGCTGTGGTGGCTAACATGAATACCTATGGCCGAGTTGCCGTCTGTGGGGCGATATCTGAGTACACAGATCCTGGAAAAAGAGCCGCGCCAAACATGTTAGATGTTATTTACAAGAAAATAAAGATCCAGGGTTTTCTAACCTGGGACCACATGGGCATCTTTGAGGATCTCATTTCGACCATAGGCGACAATCTCCGCAGCGGCAAAATGCACCCGCTCTAGGACATCTCGAATGGTGTGGAGAGCATTCCCTCTGCTTTGGTAGGACTATTTCGTGGAGATAATATCGGAAAAGGATGGTTAAAATCACAGAAGAATGAATTCGCTTTGTTAAACAACTTAACCAGAGAGTCCGTAATATCTGTGGAAATCATTATAACTTTCATGCAGAAGTTTTCGGTTTCTCTACCTAATCTTGGCAACAAAAGTTTTTAAATGGTTAGCGGCGAATTCACTTCCGATCAAGTTCATCCTGGTTGAGCAGGAAAGATGAGTACAGTGAAAAAACTACAACTAGTGAGTGACGTCGGGTCACTTGGTAAAGTAGTTTGATACGAGTGATAATGAATAAGAACCTATCCAAAAGGTTGGAATCCTTGAGGCCAATGCAGAGGAGCATTTCTAATGCTAATTAGAGCATTATGATCACATTATTATTTTGGGCTACCGTCTGAACTCTCCATCCAGACAGTCATCAGAGGAACTTCCATTCTCAGAGTGATGACTCGGACATTTATCACGAGCAATCCCATTGTTGGAGCCATGACATCCGTAGTTTACTCGAGCATGGAACCTGGACCAAAAATAACACGAATTGTACAAGAAAAAATATGTTGTTACATAGAAAGAAACCGAGCAATCTTAAATGGATCACAATGAGTGTGCCGTCACGAACTAATGAATCCTACCCAAACAGTTTGTGTAACTAATCTCTCTTACATTTAGATTCCCCAAGGGAGTGTCAGTGTAACATAGGAAGACCAAAAAAAAGATTATAAAGCGTAGGATCCCTGTGAAGCACTCAAAATAGGGATGACACAGTGACAGAGGGTCTACGGTAATATACTCCACAACATGTGAAGATAAACCAGCATACATACTACTGATATATACAATCAACATTCCATGCACAAATTTGATCTAAATTGTCTTGAGGTACACCAGACATGTATCGAAGTTGGATCTTCCATACCGCAAAACCATATTTACTCTGCCTCTAGCGATGGATTAATCAACCTTGTAACCCTTCCATGTTAGTTCCTTCAGATTCATTGGCTACGTTTCTGCCAGGATACTGATAAGAATTTGATGATCCCTGCAAAAGAGAAAAATAGTAGTATAAATTCTTTAAAATGTGGCATGAAAGTGTCAAATTTCTCATGATGCATAAGGTACCTGACTCAGTACACCTGCATATGCTGTGTTGCGATATTCAGACATCTACATTAATCAGTAACATCAGATATCAAAAGGAATATAAAAAGAATGCTACAACAGTGGGACGGTAGATTCAGTTTACATAAGTGCTAGGCTCAGTAAATGCGTAAAAGCCACTCGCAAACGCAGGTGAATGGTGAACACTTGTTACATCTAGATAAGTAAAATGGTCTCGTTAATCAAATGAAAAAACATATCTCAGGCCAAGAGAAGATACCCCATTATTGAGACTTGGATTTGTAGTTGGACCCCCAAAATTGCAAGGCGAAAAACTTGACTGCTGACGTGAATGTGACAAATGAGTTGGTAAATAGGCTTCATCCAGAGTAGCGCTAACAACCAGCTCTTCAATACAGAATGAAATTGTTGTTATGTGTAGTGTAAAGTAATATAGCTCAAATAATTAATGGAAGTAAACTCATAATGCAAAATATTATCCCAATCACCTCGACTTTGAATTGCGGTTGAGGTTGCTCCTTTCGATGATTTCTTTTGTTTTTTCTTTGACTCAATCTCGACCCCATCACCCCTTACTCCCTTCGCTTTCCTTGGAGCGTGATCTGATATTGACGTTTCACTAACGGAGTAAGAACCCTCATTACCATGCACAACCTTATCGCTGTTATCTTCACCATCTTTTGTCAAAAGATTGGATTTGTGCCCTAGAATTTCCTCCATCGTCTTGTCCAAATTTCGCATTGCAATTCTCATTGTATTTTCATCTTCAGCACCCGAGTTCATAATAGCAAAAGCTTTTTGCATCAATGTAGAATAACGACTCATCTTTGATGAACACGGTGACACTTGTGGAGAGTCATTATCCACATTACAATCCTTGGCACCCTTAGTCCATCTCTTCAAAACATAAGCAGATGGGATTTTTGTAACCATAATGTCCCCGTTGAGTACATACAAAGCATGACGGCACAACCACCCATTTGATTCAAATAATTTACATCCACAAGAGACGGAAAAATTAGCAGAATCATATCTCACAACATTTTCCCCATGAACCCCATGGCAGACTAAAGTGTATTCAGAGACTACCCCATCAGAAGTACAACGCAAAACTCGTTCCGACATACTTTGCAAAAATTCCTCATTAAACTTGGAAAATATGGTGTGAGTGTACGCCAAAGCGGCATGTGTCAAAATCTCATTATTTGACACAAGCAATTTTGGCTTACCTCGAGAATTGTGTTCATCTCGAACTTCAATCTCCCTCATATATTTCACCTGTTGTTCATGGTGGTGGACAAATCCGATAAGGTTCATACTATTAGCAGGCATTAGCCGGAAGATATTATTTGTGTTCTCACTCCTTTCAGTTGATCCAATACCACATGAATATATACCACGAGCAAAGACCGCACTCCATTTATTTCTCGATTCATATAGTCTGTTAAGCCAAGAATTGTCCTTAGTGCCCCATTCCTCTTCCATTTCCTTCCAAGTGGATTCGAATACAGACTCTGTTTCACATCTATATAGTAGTTTTGAGAAATATCTGTCCCTAAACTCAGGCTTCTCATAAAGATTGGGGATGTTTACAGCAGCATGTTTTGCAATGTGTGATGTGCATACACGATGCTGTGTATTCAAAAACACCTTTTCAACAGCTTTTTCCATAGCTTGGTCTTGGTCAGTGAAAATCGTTTTGGGTGCCCTATTTCCCATTGCCTCCAAAAATGTCTCAAATAGCCATATAAATGAATTTACCGTCTCATCTAACAAGAGAGCACACCCAAATGAGGTATTCCTCCAATGATGATTAACCCCAACAAAAGGTGCACATATCATGTTATATTTGCTAACGCGATATGTGGTATCAAACATCACCACGTCACCGAAACAATCATAATCAAATTTAGACAAACTATCTCTCCAAAATAAGTTCGTCAATCTACCATCTTGATCTACCTGTACAGCATAGAAAAAGATGGGATTTTGCATCTGCATGCACGTGAAATGATTCAAGAGAGTTTGCCAATCCTCCCCCCTCACGATACTTGATCTTTGAGTTTGCAAGAAATTATGGCTACCACGCAAACTAAACCCCATATTTCTACTTCCTCCATCTTCATTTTCCAAAAAGTTAAATGAACTGAAATTTACAATACCAGCTTTCGCCATGTCAGCTAAGACACCTTTACTTGGATCAGAAATCATCCTTCCACATCTGATCAAGTGCCTTTGATTTTCCGGAAGAAATGCATGGTTATGCTCAGACATGTACTCTATGACTTCATGAACGCCATTTTCAACCTTAAATCGAATATGTGCAAGACAACCACACCTATTCTCAGTCCTTTCCATCTTTTTTTGCTGGTCGGGTGGAGTGCAAGAGAAACCCTCACAATTACACAGAAATGTACGCCGAGTGATTTCTCCTTTGGAATTTCTAGCTTTTTTACCCTTCCGAACTCCAAATCCCTTACGTAATGCATATGCCACATACGTATGATATGCTTTGAGTTCACTTGAAAAGACCATCCCCACTTTAAAATCGAAGTTTTTCGGGAGATTGTGTATTGAGTGGTGAAGATGGGCATCGTCACATTCTACAGTACAGAAAAGTTTGCGTAGAAAATCATCAAAACATGAGATTCATAAGTTGTAAAAGCATAAGTTTGATTAACAAACTATTGGAGGTCATTAAAGATTTCCCTACAAAGTAGAGATCTACACACCTTCTGCTATCTCCTTGCTTGCATCCACTGGTTCCATATTATCTCTCATCCTGGTACTAAATTCACAAAAGTCAGACACAAAGCCCCCAGTAACCCACAAATATGATCCACAAACACAACCGTCCCATAAACTGTATAGCGACAACTACTGAATAGCAAAAATTGGACCTTCTCCTCTTCCTAGAGAGAATCCAATTTCTGATCAAATATCAACCAGCCACCCACAGATTACCAGCTCATGAAGTATCAAGAGATGCTCCAATTTCATTGTTTCAAATGAATGCAATTCAAGATACCAACTTAAGGGCTAAATCAGAAGCACAAATCTCATTGCTGTACAGAGTAACACAGTACGGAACTCTCACTAAACTACGAGAGAGAGAGAGAGAGAGAGAGAATCTAAACCCTTAAGAAGAAAGACAGCAAAGTGGAAACCAGCACGTTCATATGCTTCTTCGGGCTCAAAAGAAATTGAAACTTGACAAGTCCAACAGTGAAATGAACTCGAGACGTGAATGCTGCGGAGAAGAGAGAGAATTAACCTGGGGCTCCTGAGAACGACAAGAAGCTGGAGACAACCGGCACCCCCAGAACGACGGCGGCGACGCTCGACCGTACCACTTCCGGTGATCTTCACGGCGGCGCCGTCCCGATCTCCGGCCTCCTCCGTTCGACCAGAAAGGGAGAAGGATCGGAGCTGGAACGAAACTCAAAGGCCCGGCTCCAAAAATGGTCGAAATTGCCCATTCCTTGTATTTTTACTGATTTGATTTGCTTATATAAAAAAAAGAAATAACGGAAATTAAAAAGAGGTTATTGTGGCTATAAGAAAGTTTTTCAATTTTTACCTTTCTATCAAGGAAGGGTCACTAGTCACACTTGTGAATGTCGCTGAATTTTTATGGTATCAATTACTAATTTCTTGTCTTGAAAGCTTACTAGTCATGTTATTAAGCTATCATCGTTAATACTCTTTCCTATTAGACTGGTGATTGATCGAAGAAAGTACTAGTTATTGAAATGGTGTAAGATGTTTTTACTTGAGAAATCACTATCGATTTCGACAAGTTGTCCGCCGGCCATAGAGAGAGTTTGAACTTACTATTCTTAGTATAAAAGTACCAGCCAAATAATGAGAAAATTTACTAATTGTTCGGTAAGTACTTGTTTTGCCCACATATAACCATATTAGTATGATGAAGAAATTACGTCCCATGATCACTATCAAGGAGGAAGGTCCCAACTGCTGTATTGCAAAGTCCTTTTTAGTTATAAGTTATTAATGATATAGAAAACTACTACTTACATTACATGTACATATTTACCTTTTTTCTATTAGTAGTTACTAACCGCTTGATGCATTGATATATTTTTCAATATGATTCAATTCCCAATAACGACTCTGCCAGAATCACAACCATTTATCGTGTGGTCTATGTGAAAAGTTGTAGATGAGTCAAATCGGATATGAATGTCCTTGCTTGAGATCCATTATATGGGGATATATTCTTATCTAGATTTGAATAGATAGATCGGGTGTAATCGCGTGAGATCTGTCCGAGCCCATAATATTAAGTTATCGTGATTCGATAGATTGACCTAGTTGTGAGCAAATATTCCATGGATCTATTATATATTAAACTCAATATGGATCGGACCTAATGGGATTTATATAGGACCTATTAATTTCGATTGTCCAGATTTAGTTTAGCACAAACACTACGCTCATATCATTTATAGGCAAATTAATTAATTACATTCGATACATATAGACGCAGTACATGCAATTTATTGCATCACGTGGTTCTCACGTGTAGAATAATGCTTTGTGTGTACATAAAAATATGAGATAAATGCACTAGAAGTTCAAAAATTTGTCACGAACGTACAATTGAGTCTTAAAAATTTCAAAGTTCAATTAAATTCTAAAATTTTTCAAATTGATGCAATCAAATCCTTCCATTAACTTCGTCAAATTTGATTAACGAAAAATGTTGACGTTAGTTTTTTTTATTTTCTCTACCCTTTGTGGCGTTGACATGACTAAACTGCGTATTCTTTTTTTTTTCTTTTTTTAAGTTTGCTTATTTTTAATATAAATTAAATAAAATTTGTATTAAAAAATCAGATAAGCCCTTGCCGCCGCCATCCCACCATCGTTGAAGAGGGCCGGCGATGTGGGCGAATGGTTTGCGGGGGTCGCCGAGCCCTAGCCAAAGGCCAACAACCCTCACTTAGATTCCTTTTTTGTGTGTGTGTGTTTTTTTTTAAGTTTGCTTATTTTAATATAAATTAAATAGTATTTGGACTAAAATGATGTCGTTTTAGTTTTGAGTTTCATGTTTTAGTCACGTTATTGCCACATAAGTGAGATAAAAAAATATAAACAAAGTCAAGTCAACATTTTTTGTTAGCCAAGTTAAACGGAGTTAACAGAATAACTTGATTGCATCAATTTGATACATTTTAAGACTTAATTGCACTTTTTAAAAGTTTTAAAACTCAATTGTACTTTAATGATAAATTTTAGAATTTTCTATGCATTTCTATACAAACATGAGAAAATGACATTAAAAGTGTCAAAAGTTATGTACGGCGCGCTCACTTTAATACCAAAATTTTTTATTCGAATAACTTAACTGTTACTTTAAAAAAATCTTAGACAAAGGAACCGACCCAGTTGGCGGTGAAGTTGTTGGGGTCGGAGATGATGCCCTACTTCAAGGCTTGGAGAGTGATGTAGGCATTGTGGAGGCGGGGGTCCTCGAAGTAGATGGATGGGTAGACGGCAATGCTCTCTCTGCGGTTGCCAAACTCGTCGAGGTAGCGGAGGAGGTGGCAATGCTGGTGTATTGGGTGGTGGCTCCATGGGCGGTGGTGGACAGGATGGTGAAGGAGGAGAAGAAGGTGAAGAAGATGTCAAATGAATTTCGGAGGAACGCCGTCCTTTTACACAAGTATTTATCCATGTAGACTAGTTTTTATGAGAAAATGCTACCTCAAATAAAATTTTGAATTATAAAAGCGACGTAATTTCTCACCGGAAGTACTTAAGTGATCGTTTTTTCTTTGATTTGGCACTTATGTGGGTCGATGAAAACTTTTGGCACTAAAGTGAGCGTCATACGTAACTTTTGGCTCTTCTGGCATCCTTCTCCCCTCTGTTCCACATTGCTCAACACCTTATCTAATTTCTTCTTTACAAATTCTTCCCCTTCTCTATTGTTTAATCAAGTGAAGGCACTTCCCTTGCATCCAATGTCCATTAATACACAAGAGTTCAAAAATCTCCTAAAGCCATTAGATGATAATGTTTTGCTTTTCTCTTCCCTTCTTTCTCATAGTAGTAAAGTATTTCATTAAAATCTTCCAAAAAAACATAAGGAAGGGAATTAAGAGAGCTTATCTAGTGAAGATTGATAGAAGGGATCTCTCTTGATAATCATTAGGGGCATGCACTAACGTAACTCTCACCCACTTTTTATCTTCCTGAAATTACAAATTAAGTCCACAAAATCTACTGAAGCAAACTCTATATCAATTTTACCTAATCATCCCATAGGATAGCTAACCCACCTCCAATTCGTTAGATTAACAACAAATTGATTTTAAAAACCGAGACGCTTCTTTACTCTTTTTTGCAATTGCTCCATGATTCTTAGTTTCCACCAGAAAAAGTAAGTTGCGCTTCTTTTGAGCAACGAAGGCTCTAAGATTCTGGATTGTCAAGGGAGTGCCCAAACCTTGATAGATCAAACTTAGTAGCTCCATTTTTCATCCGGTGGCTTATTAGAGCTAGCCACCAAAGCATATTATGTTGCTTCCTCTGTCACTAAGATTTGACTGTCAAGGAGTTGGGACTCATCTAATAGCAAAATTGTCCAAAAAGTCATAAATTAATATTGCACTTTTATCAGTTCAGTCATAAAATTGAATAGAAAATTTCAAAAACAAAAACAAAAATAGGACGAAAAGATCCGAAAAAAATCCTTTCAATTTTGCCAATTGATTCGACCCTAAAAAAATTGCCAATTGAGTCCTAAACCTTTTCACAGTTTGCCAATTGAGTCCATCCGGCCAATTTTAATCGGAAATCACTATCGTGGACGCCGGTAGTGCCACATAGGAAGGCTGGGGCTAACGTAAACAATTTTTAATATTATTTTTTTAAAATTTTTAATTATTTTTTCTTCTTTTTTCTTTTATTTTTTTCTTTCTTTCTTTCTTTTGTTTTCTTCCAAGTCTAGCAAGGGTCGGCGAGGGCCTCGCGACCTTCGCCGTACTTGGAAGAAGAAAAAGAAAAAGAAAAAAAATTTCAAAATTTCAAAAGAATTAATATAAACTCAAAGAGCTTTTCCCGATAAGCTCCATCGAAAGCCTATGGTGAAATTATGATGGCATTACGTTAATAGAGGGACAATATCACAATTCAAACGTAAACTGAATCTCTTACTTTCATGATTCCTTAAATTTCTAGCTCTTTCCAAACTTACTTGAATATTTTTATTTTTCTTTGTAAGTTAGATAATCTGTTATCTCACATAAAAATCAAAATTCATTTTCTCAAATGGATCAAATATTTAAAAGCTCTTTCTCTAAATACTTGAAATTTATATTCATTTGGATTACATAAAATTTCCACATTATATGTTGTTGGCCAGCCCAGCGGTCTCGAGAAGTTCCTTTTGAATCCATTGCTACCTGGATGTACCTTCCGTCATTTATTCTTCTTTCAATTTTCAGTATCTCTATTGTTTTTCTATTAATTTCATTTGCATTTTGAATTTGTAACCTTTATTACATAACACTTTAGTCTTGGACAATAGATAGGCCTTAGAAATAGTTATGCATATGATGATCGTAAAAGAGGGGTTTGCAAACAAATGTCTAGCATGCACTCTTTTTAAAATGGCAATCATGCATTATTTTAGGGAAAAGTTTTAGCATCTCGATGTTATAATTTCTAGTCATACCTCAACTGCATTTCTTTTTAATAAATAAAGTTGTCGTCATGAGGTTCATATGTATACCCGATCGTTAAGAATAACCATGGTTGCGGCAATAATTATGCATGATAGGACCATGGAAGAATGAGACAAGTGGAAAACATGCATTTAATAGTGGCAAGCATGCATCATTCAAAGATAATATTTAGTCTCTTAAACTTTTAGAGAAAAAGTTTTTAATGATTGTAATTAAAACATTTATCTTTAACCATCTTTCAAATGTCATTTCTTGCACGCATGTAACGTGTACGTTCATTTGCTAGTATATAGTAAAATAAACTCGAAAAACTTTTCCTAATAAGTTCCACCAAAAGTCTATGGTGAAATTATAATGGCATGACTTTAATAGAGGGATAAAATCGTAGTTCAAACAAAAACTAAATATCTAAGGTTTTTTTTAGTTAAATAATCTGTCATTTCATATAAATTAGAATTCACTTTCTCAAATAGATCGATTCTTTAAAAAAATTTTATCTAAATACTTGAATTTTACATTCATTTATAATAAAGAAAAGTTTTCATTATATATCGTTGGTCAACCCGGCCGCCCCAAGAAGTTTCTTTTGGATCCATTTATACCTAGAAGTACCTTGTGTCGTATATAACTTTTCTCTACCTTCTTCTTTCAATTTCAGTTTCTCTATTTTTTTTTAGTTTCATTTGCAATTTGAATTTGTAACCTTTATTGCATAACACTTTAGTCTTGGACAATATAGATAGGCCTTGGTTATGCATGTGATGAACGTGGAAGGAGTTTGCAAACAAATGTCATGTACTCTTTTCAAAATGGCAACCATGCATTACTTTACGGAAAAAAATTTAGCATCTCGATGCTCTACAACGTATCTCTTTAATGAATAAATCCGTCGTTTTTGAAGTTTATATGCATATTTAGTTGTCGAGAATAATGTTGGCTATGGCAATAATTATGCATGCATGACCATAAGGGACAAGTGGCAAACATGCATTAATCAAAGACAAGTTTTAGTCTCTTAAACATTTATCATTTACCATGCTTGCATTAAAAAACATTTACCATTGACCATCTTTCAAATGTCAGTTTCTTGCACACATGTAACGCGTGTGCTCATTTATACAGTACAATAATGGCATAATGTTAATAAAGGGATAAAATCATAATTCAAACATAGACCGAATCTCTAGATTTCTTAAATTTCTAGCACTTTCCAAACTCACTTGGATATTTTTATTTTTCTTTGTAAGTTAAATAATCTGTCCCTTCACAAAAATTAAAATTTACTTTCTCAAATAGATCAAACCATTAAAAGCTTTTTTTTTCTCTAAATACTTGAAATTTTTATTTATTTGGATTAAAGAAAAGTTCTTCATTATATATTGTTGGCCTACCTGGCCACCCCCAAGAAGTTTCTTTTCGATAAATCCCTACCTAAAAGTATCTTGTGTAGCATATAACTTTTCTCTGGTTTCTTCTTTCAATTTCAGTTTCATATATATTTTTTAATTTCATTGCATTTTGAATTTGTAACCTTTATTACATAACACTTTAGTCATGGACAATAGATAGGCCTTAGAACTAGTTATGCATGTAATGAACGTGGAAGGAGTTTGCATTAATTTACGGAAAAACTTTAGCATGCTCTAATTCTAGTCACACCTTAAATGTCTTTCTTTTTAATGAATACATTTGTTGTTTTGAAGTTGATATGTATATTTTCTAGTCGAGTATACCGTTGGCTGCAATAAGTATGCGTGATATGATCATTAAAGAATGAGACAAGTGGCAAACATGCATTATTCAAAGGAAACTTTTAGTCTTTTAAACATTTATCTTTTGCTATGTTTGGAATCAAAAACTATTATCTTTGACCATCTTTTAAATGTCAGTTTCTTGCCCATTTGCGAGTATATAATAAAAAAAACTCATAGAACTTTTCCTACTAAGTTCCATCAAAAAGCCCATGGTGAAATTACAATGGCTTAACGTTAATAGAGGGACAAAATCGTAAATCAAACTTAAACTGAATCTCTAACAAATCAATTCACGACTCCTTAAATTTGTACCAATTTCCACACTTGCTTGAATAATTTTATTTTGCTTTGTAAGTTAAATACTTCACTATTGTATTAAAATAAAAAATCACTTTGTCAAATAGATCAAATCTTCAAAAACATTTTGACTAAATACATTTTTTTTAAGACGGAGAATAAATGGGTGTTTTAGTAAGTGTATCCCTCTCACACCCCACAGTATATAATATTCATTTTGCAGAATAAAGATTTTCTCATTGCAGTGCTCAAACTCAAATAATATTGATTGAAGAAGAGGGCCTCGCTTTGTGCTTCTTTTCATCACCATGAACCTGAATCTGGAACTTGTGCTGTTGCTGCTCCTATTTTTCAGTCTTTCTCCACGTGAGATGGCAAATATTTCCGACGAGGATGATTTAGATTTGGAAAGCCAGGTTAGAATAATGAACAAGCCATCCATCAAGACTTTTACGGTAATTTTCCTTCAACCCCCTATTTTTTTGCAATAATCCCATTTAAATTTCACGGAGGTATTGCAATTTATCCGGTTAATCTTCGAAATACGATTGTTACTCTGCGATTGATTAACTCTGTTTGATTTTATCAAGACTAAAGAAGGAGACACAATTGACTGTGTTGATATCAACAAGCAACCAGCACTTGATCATCCCCTACTGAAGAATCATAAAGTTCAGGTAAAAATTGATCATTTTCTCTCAAATCAACTGATGAATATGTGGACCGATGTTGAATAATTTAGGTTAAATGGTCTACTTGATACTTCTATGATCAGTTTTTTCTTCTTGTAGAAAGAGCCGAATCTACACGTGAGCTTGCGCAAAACTTCTCCGATTGCAAAATCGGTAAGATCTGGGTTGAGAGAGCTTTGCCCCATTGGAACGGTACCCATTCGTCGAGTAACAAAAGAAGATTTGGTGAGCGCAAGGTCCCTGCCCAAGATACCATCTGTCGCGGCAATGGGGCAAAGTCCTCATTCTCCAAATCAACATGTACTATCGCTCTCTCCCATGCTCATATGCATATCTACACATATACAATAACATCAGTGATTTTTCTTTTCCATTCTACTAATGAGGTTATGTGTCTCTAAATTTTATGAGCCCACATATCAAATGTCCACTTAGTACAATCTCAAGATCTATTCTTTCCATGATTTGTGTAGTAAAAGAAAAATCAATACAACTTTTAAAGTAAGATCGGTAAGCATAGGTGAATATGAGATTATTTATCATTTCTAGGTGGTTAACTTACAAATTATCATTTGTAGGTGGTTTCTCTAACAGACCTCATGGTAGAAAATATTAAATACGGAGGAGGTGGACGTGTGACGGTCTACAATCTAACTACTACTCCTGATCAATTTACTTCACATCATGTGTGGATTGAATCTGGTCCCTCGGAGAATGTTAGCATGATTATAGCTGGTTGGATGGTAAGTGATTTTTCAAGTAAGTTAATGCCATAAATTTTTTTGGACATAATAAGTTTAATATATGGTAAAATGATTTGAGAGAAAATTCTCTTATTTTTCTAGGTTGCTCCACCATTATTTGGCGATACCATTTCTCGGTTGTTCACGTATTGGACGGGTGAGCTGTGAATGATTGTTAATTCTTAATTAAAGCATTTTTCCCTTATTTTCGAAAGCCAAACTAGAAATTGAAGATTATTTGAATCTCATTGACTAAAGCATTGTCCTCATAAGGTGATGGCTATCGCAATGGGTGCTATAATGCACTATGTCCGGGTTTCGTCCAAGTGAGTAGGGAAGTAACCCCCGGTTTTATATTAAAACCTACTTCTACTTATGGTGGAGATCTATATGAGCTTGCAATTGATATCGAACAGGTATGTTTGATCTTTTTCATGGTACTTAAGGTAATGATTTTTTGCTAAAATATATTAGCTACTAAAAGTTTTGTTCTTAAAATTAAAATTTTTCGCTATCATTCTGCCCTACTGAAAGTTATCCATATAAGCATATAATCCATCATTGCATCCATGTTAGATAATTTTTGCAATTTTTTCCATTAGCACTTATTATCAATAGCTCTTTATAATCAGGATCGAAATACTGGGAATTGGTGGTTGGTTGTGCTCGGGGCAAAGATTAAAGTAGGCTACTGGCCAAAGGAACTATTTTCATATTTGCGCGATGGCTCACAATACATAGCTTGGGGAGGAATTGGCTCAGCTGGAAGCGATGGGATCTGTCCCCCAATGGGAAATGGTCACATGCCTTATGATAATTTGAAGCATGCTGCCATCTTTCGACAACTCCATTGGGTTCGATCAGATGGCAAATCCCTACCTCCTTCGGATAACACGAGGGAGTGGGTGGATAGATCCAATGTTTATGGTTTGGTGAACCATCACCATGTGAAACAAGATCGAAGTGGCTATGCCATTAGTTTTGGAGGTCCGGGGGGTTATTGCAGGGGATAGAAAATTAAGATGACAAAGCTATCTTGAGCGATTCAAATAACAAAGCTATCAATTTTCTATTCCACACTTTATTATTTGTAAATTAGTGATTTTTATTTTCGTTTCCTTCTTCCCGTGGTAGATAAAAACCATCTATTTTAATTTTATCAACTCCCTTTTACGATTCGTATTTCACATTTTCTTTTCCTTTCTTGAGATTGAGAGTGAGATTGCAATTACCAGCGGTCAAGATTAGTATGGATAGACTTTAATATAAAAATAGGCATGCTGGTATAGATAAAATCATTTATTGTGCATATAATGATTATAAATGACTTCCTACAGCAAACTATATGATTAGTGGCAACAATTGCTGTGTCACGGCTAATATTAGAGATGTTACTGCTAATGGTCTTATTGCCAAATTTCGAGTCATCGCTACCCGCAAATAATAATGTGATTAATAGGTACCCTACTTAATTTTTTATCCAAAAAGAATTTGACCCTAGATCTCACGGGTCAAAAAATACGTATGAATATAGTTGGCAAGCATTTATCAAGTAATTTTTAGCAATACTCATTTTGTCGAAACCTATAGGCACAAGGAGTTTCTCAATCTTTTCAAAAATAGAATCTATCAATTTCCATTTATTAAGAACTGTGTCAATTTAAAAAGGAGAGAACTGTTAGATGTAAAAATTCAGTCAAATTTCCTCATTAATTAGCGTATAAAAGAGAATAAGAATAGAACAAAATATGAGACCTCCGAAGAGGCAAAGTAGCTTGAACCGAACTGACCTATTTGATAAAGTCTTATTCTTGAAAAATATTTGGTGGAGATGGGATACTACGTCATCAGCCCATTAAAAACCTGCCAGCTCAAAGATTGTGTTACTTAAGTGTCACTTTAAAAAAATCACTTAAGTGCCATCGTCACCGGAAATCTAACGTGACCATTTTTTTATTACTTTCTCTATCTGGCATGGCTCACCGACGTGTTCAATCAGCATATATAGCCCAAAATAACGCCATCTCTGTGTTTTGCCCAAAATTTTAAACCCTAAATTGCAATTTGCAAGGAAATTCCCAAATTGGAACCCTTAAATCGACCACAACCCCACATCCGAACCTTTTCGATTTGGCCCCCAATGCAGATGGAATGAACGAGCTTGAGGGCGAAGTATAACCTTTTCGATTTGTCTCCCTCGACGTCGTCTCAATCTCTTGCTTATCAAAATTGAGGGCGAAGTATTACCTTGTCAAACAAGCAAATCCTTGTCGTGGTTGGTAATCAAGTTGGTTATAGAAGCTCCTGGAAGTGTGGATGACGGAGATCGAAGCTAGCGAGGGAGTAATGAACGAGCTTGAGGCACTTCATGTTCCTTGACCGAGAAGTAGGGCAAAACAGATGACTTGCGTGCGGTGGTCGATATGGCCTTGAAGGTGCGATTGTTGGTCACAAACGGCGATCAAACTAGAGAGCTGATGTCCTGGAGGCGTAAAAGATGGTGATCGGTGCCGGCGAAGAAGGATCGAGCAAATGCAAAGCACCTCGGTCGCTCAAATCTGAAAAATAAAACAGAACAGAGGCACGGTCGAGACTCCGAGGCGTGAACAGCTCGATCGGCGATGGCTACGGCGTTCAGAAAGTGACGGACAAGGATTACCAATGATGCCACTTAGAGTAAGCTGACGAAAACTTTTAGTATTGAAGTGAGCATTGCACGTGACTTTCCATGGTTCTATTGTCCTTCTCAAGTCAAGCCACGACATTCAATGACGGGATGGATTTGGTCCACCTAAGAAGCTCACCCCGTAGGTGCGAAGATAAAAATTGGTCTTTTTTCGTTGGAGCGACACCAAGAAGATGAACCAGACGGACCATTGCCAATGACCCAGAAGGCCATCACGGCCAGCCAAACCACCACCCTCCTTTCCCTCGCGAGAACATGCACAGCTCTGTGCCAACTCAAGCAGCTCCACGCCCACGTCCTCAAGCTCCACCTCCCCGGAAACCCATCCGCCATCGGACCTCTGCTCTCCGCCGCCGCGACTTCCGGCGACCCTTCTTTCTTCTCTTACGCCTGCTCCGTTTTCGAGCATCTCCGTTGCCGCAGCACCTTCATGTACAACACCATGATCAGAGGTCACGTGCAATCCGGGTCCCCTGTTACGGCGGTGTCGTTGTACTCGGATATGTTGAGTTCTGGGGTCGAGGGCAATAACTATACTTACCCGCCACTGATCAAAGCTTGCGTCTTTATGGGTCCCGATTCGAAAGCTATTGGTTTGCTGGTCCATGCACATGTCGTTAAGCTCGGGTATCGTGCCGACCCTTTTGTGGTTAGCGCGTTGATCGAGTTTTATTCGTCGGTATGCGATTTGGAGAGTGCGCGGAAGCTGTTTGATGGAAGTACTGTGAGGGATGTGGTCACATGGACTGCACTGGTCGATGGTTATGGGAAAGCGGGGGACTTGGAGAATGCGAGGCTCTTGTTCGACGAAATGCCTGAGAGAAATGTTATATCCTGGAGTGCCATGATGGCAGCTTACTCTCGAGTCAGCGACTTCAAGGAGGTTCTCTCTTTATTCAGGCAGATGCAAGAAGTGGGTTTTGAACCTAATGAATCTGTTCTCGTTAGTGTACTCACTGCTTGTGCACATCTCGGTGCTGTTACTCAAGGGTTATGGGTGCATTCATACGCTAAGCGGGTGAATTTCATTTCGAACCGCATATTAGCTACGGCACTGGTCGATATGTACTCGAGATGTGGTCTTGTGGATTTGGCTTTGTCAGTTTTTCACAATATTTCTGATAAGGACGCCGAAGCATGGAACGCTATGATCGCCGGGGTCGCTCTGAATGGAGACATAGTGAAGTCTCTTGAGCTATTTAAGAAAATAATTGCACATGGGACTCAACCCACAGAGACCACGTTTGTTGCTCTTCTCACGGCATGTACTCATGCCAAGATGACTAAAGAAGGCCTTAAGCTTTTCGAAGAGATGGGTAACATCCACGGCATTAGGCCAAAGTCGGAGCATTTCGCATGCGTTGTCGACCTTTTGGCCAGGTCGGGTATGGTGGAGGAAGCCGAAAAGTTCATGGAGGAGAAGATCGGAGGACTAGGAGGAGCGGATGCTAATGTGTGGGGAGCATTGCTACACGCGTGTCGCATTTATGGGAATGTAGAACTCGGGAATAGGATCTGGAAGAAGCTTACTGATATGGGCATAACTGATAGCGGGACTCGTGTACTCTCGTACAATATTTATAAAGAAGCTGGTTGGGAGAATCAGGCTAATGACTTGAGGAAGTTGATCTCGGACGCCCGAATGAAAAAGCTACCCGGTTGCAGCGTGATCGAAGTGAATGGCATCGTTAAAGAGTTCCGCGCCAGTGATTTTTGTCATCCACAGGCACTGGAGATGTGTAAAGTACTTGATTCTTTTTCTAGCATGGTAAACTTGGACGAGTTGTACATTAATTGAAATGTTCTCCTGGACAGTGATTTGGGCTAGGACTTCAGAGAGTTTTGGTAGGATTAGCCATTCTTTAGATCTGTAACATTTTGATTCTTGTATCAAGCTCAGTGAGTTATCAATCTTGCATTCATCCATAAGAATTGCATCATTGATGGGTTCTTGTCTGCCAAATCAAATCAATATCAACACAAAAACGAACTCCGATAATCATTGATACATTTGAAATTCTTTTACCTGGGAGACTCCTAATCTAGCGAGACATGAAAACTCACTCTCAAATCTCAGGCTGTCAGCTACAGCTTTAAAGGAGGGCCCCACCGAAAAACTAAAGCTTAAAAGGAGCTTAATTCTAATCTTGATTCGACTTAATCTAATTGGAAAAGAATTTAGGTAAATATTCTTGTTTCTCGAAGCATAATATAATTACTTCTGAAAGTACCAAAAAGATTCACTTCAGGAGAACCTGATAGTACTCATATAATAAGACAAGAACCATGTAGACTTGCTTCATCATGTAAAATATGTTGAGAATGATGTCTTGTATTCTGTTATATGGAAAAGCTAAATATTTTAGGCTATGTGGGCAATTTTGTAATTTGTGCCATGTAGGGTTTCGCTATATATGTTTAGGGCGAAACATGTCTCTAAAAAAAAGAGAGAAGGAGGGAGTGAGAAAGAGCGGCTGTACACTTTTCTACGTTATTAGTGAAACAGATCTCATCTCCCCGTGGACGTAGGTAGGCGGAACATCTCCCCTGCTGAACCACGTAAATTCTTGTGCTGTGCGAATTTCCATTACTTTTCTTACATCGTTGATAGAATCGAATTAGATATTCGACAATTGGTATCAGAGCTTGGTTCGGCGATCTATCAAGATGGCAGGAAAGGGTTCGAGTGTCAAGTACGACATCGAGAGGTTTAATGGAAAGAACAACTTCACTCTCTGGCGACGAAGAATGATGGATCTTCTGATTCGGCAGGGCCTGTTGAAAGTGCTGCTGGGGAAAGGGAAGAAACCAGAAACGAGTGATGAAGATTGGGGGGAGATGGAGGAAAGGGCGGTAAGCGTCATTTGATTGAACCTATCTGATGAGGTTCTGCAGTATGTGGTGGATCTCAAGTCGGCTCCGCAGGTGTGGGCGAAACTTGAGAGCATCTATATGACCAAGTCCCTAACGAACAAACTGTTTTTGAAAAAACAGTTATACTCTCTACAGATGGAGGAAGGCTCAGATCTATTAGAACACATCAACACGTTTAATCAGATTCTGAGTAAACTTACAAGTCTGGAGGTTTCAATGGAAGATGAAGACAAAGCCCTATTACTGCTATCGTCACTACCAGCATCTTATGATCATCTGGTGACGACACTCTTGTATGGAAAAGAGACGCTTGAGACAGATGAGGTCACTGCTGCCCTATTATCTAATGATACGAGAAAGAAGGTTAACAGTGCTACGGCACAGGGTGAGGGTCTCATCGGAAAAGTCAAGGAGCGGGAACGGGGAAGAACAATCCAGCGGGGATCCGGGAATAAGGGTCGATCGAAATCAAGAGGGGGTAAAACGAAACTCTCTTGTTATTATTGCAAGAAGGAAGGCCATCTGAAAAGAAACTGTTTTAAGATAAAGGAAGACTTGAAGAAGCACGAGAAAACTTCTAATCAAGCAAGTGTGGCCGATAGCTCAGACGGTGATGATGGAGATCTTCTCTCTATATCATCAGGTAAGAATCAGTTCATTGATTCATGGATTTTAGACTCTGGATGCTCTTATCACATGTGCCCGAATAGGGATTGGTTTGATTCATACCGGTCATACAGTGGCGGATCTGTTCTAATGGGGAATGATGCGGTTTGCAAAACCATTGGAATAGGGACTATTAAAATCAGAATGTTTGATGGTATAGTCAGAACTTTGGTGGATGTAAGACACGTTCCAGATCTAAAGAAAAATTTGATATCTTTGGGTGAGCTTGATGTGAATGGCTGCAAGTACGTAGCAGCAGGTGGAGTTCTCAAAGTCATCAAGGGAGCTATGGTTGTCATGAAAGGAGAGTTGACTGGAAGTTTATATAGGCTCATAGGAAGTACAGTAACAGGTGGAGCATCTGTGACTATAGCTGCAGAGTCCGATACAGATGACACTCATCTGTGACATATGCGGTTAGGGCATATGGGTGAGAGGGGTATGATGGAGCTTCATAAAAGGAAGCTGTTAAAAGGTGTCAAAAGCTGCAAATTGAACTTCTGCAAATACTGCATTTTCAGGAAACAGAGCAGGGTTAGTTTCAAAACTGCGAAGCATACGAGCAAGGATGTACTTGATTATGTACACAGCGATGTATGGGGTCCTGCACCGATCAAATCAAAAGGTGGAGCCGAATATTTTGTGACCTTCATTGATGATTACTCAAGGAAAATCTGGGTCTACTTCATGAAGCAGAAAAACGAAGTCTTCTCCAAATTCAAAGAGTGGAAGGCTGAAGTAGAAAGGCAGACAGGAAAAAAGCTAAAGTGCTTGAGAACAGACAATGGAGGGGAATACAGGTACACACCATTCCTGGAACTATGTAAAGCTGAAGGGATCACACGTCACTTCACAACATCAGATACACCACAGCAAAACGGTGTAGCTGAGAGGATGAACATGACACTTTTGGAAAGGGCTCGGAGTATGAGGCTGAATGCAGGACTGAGTAAAAGTTTCTGGGCAGAAACAGTTAATATGGCATGCTATCTCATTAACAGGTCTCCATCTACAGCCATTGAATGCAGAGTTCCTGAGGAGGTATGGACAGGTAATCCGATTGACTATTCTGGTTTGAGAGTATTTGGTTGTCCAGCCTATGTTCATGTACAAAGTGAACATCGTTCCAAGTTAGACTCAAAGTCTAAGCAGTGTATCTTTCTTGGCTATGAGAAAGGTGTGAAAGGATTCAAGTTATGGGATCCAAATGCACGGAAGACCGTGGTTAGCAGGGACGTTGTCTTTAATGAATCTGACATGGTGAAGGCAAATAACAGTTCACATGCAGATGGCAGGAGTGAAGAAGGATCTACTGTGCAGGTGGAGTCAGGTGAACCAGAAATAGCGGGAGGAAGGGAATCATCCAGTAACTCACCAGAATCACAGGAGACAGTAGAAGATACCTACACCATCGCAGAAGGTAGAGGAAAACGTACTCACAAAGCACCTGTGAGATACGGGTTTGAGGATATGGTTGCTTATGCCCTCACAGTAGGTACAGGCGATCCATTTTCCTATCAGAATGCGATATCTGATGCTGATAGTGATAAATGGATGTCAGCTATGATGGAAGAAATGGAATCCTTACAGAAAAATAGGACTTGGAAGATTGTGGAGAAACCTAAAGAGCGAAAGATCATTGGGAGTAAATGGATCTTTCGCAAGAAAGAGGCAGTGTCTGAGAATGAGCAGGTAAGGTACAAGGCTAGACTTGTAGCTAAAGGGTATGCACAGAAGGAAGGGGTGGATTATAATGAAATATTCTCTCCAATAGTAAAGTACACTTCCATTCGGGTTCTACTTGCCTTGGTAGCCATGTTTGATTTTGAGCTGGAGCAACTTGATGTGAAGACGGCGTTTCTTCATGGAGACTTGGAGGAACAGATTTTCATGGAGCAACCTGACGGGTTCAAAGTGTCAGGAAAGGAAGATCACGTTTGTTTGCTTAAGAAATCACTTTATGGCCTTAAGCAATCTCCAAGACAGTGGTACAAACGTTTTGACTCTTTTATCGTGCAAATTGGCTATTCGAGAAGTGAGTATGATTGCTGTGTTTATTTTAAAGTGTCAGATGATAATTCGATTATTCTTTTGATGCTTTATGTTGATGACATGCTCATTGCTGCTAAGGATATGCATAATATTGTTTCTTTAAAGTCCTTGTTGAATAATGAGTTTGAGATGAAGGATCTTGGTGCTGCTAAGAGGATCCTTGGTATGGAAATTCATAGAGATAGAAGTGCAGGTAAACTCTGGGTATCTCAAAAGAGGTATGTTGAAAAGGTACTTGAGCGTTTCAACATGAATAAGGCTAAATCAGTGAGGACACCATTAGCTAGCCACTTCAGGTTATCTGAACAACAATGCCCCACAAAGCATGAGGAGATTGAAAAGATGACTCGAGTTCCCTATGCTAGCACAGTTGGGAGTCTCATGTATGCTATGGTGTGTAGCAGGCCAGATTTATCTCATGCAGTCAGTGTTGTTAGCAGATACATGAGTAATCCAGGGAAGGAGCATTGGAATGCAGTCAAGTGGATCTTTAGATATCTGAGCGGGACTGCAGACTTGGGTATTATGTTCAGTCGCGACGGAGGTTCAAAGGAGCTAGCTGGATATGTTGATTCAGACTTTGCTGGTGACCTAGACAGGAGGAGGTCTACTACAGGATATGTCTTTACATTAGCTGGTGGACCTATCTCATGGAGGGCGATGCTCCAGTCCACAATTGCATTGTCTACTACAGAGGCAGAGTACATGGCAATTATAGAAGCTGCTAAGGAAGGGCTCTGGTTGACTAGGTTGGTTCGTGAGTTGGGTTTAGAGCAAAGAGGTACGGTGTTACATTGTGACAGTCAGAGTGCCATACATCTCGCCAAGAATCAAGTGTTTCATGCAAGAACAAAGCATATAGATGTGAAGTTTCACAAAATCAGGGAGCTTGTGTCAGATGGCAGCATTCACTTGAGGAAGATTCACACGAATAGCAATCCTGCAGATTGTTTTACCAAGCCAGTCACTATTGAGAAGTTTGGGTCCTGTTTGGGCTCAATTAATATAACTCGCTGTTGAAGGTGAGGGACGCACTCAATAAGTGCGGGAGTGTACCTCTTATGGAGGTACGGGGATGAAGATATCTATATTTCATATTCTTTCACAGGTGGCTTTACAGAATCCAAGCCAAGGTGGAGATTGTTGAGGATGATGTCTTGTATTCTGTTATATGGAAAAGCTAAATATTTTAGGCTATGTGGGCAA